TGATATAACGAATAAAGATGGGAACGGATGTGTATTACAAGTTAATCATTAGATTAGAATTAATTTGGCTTGTAAGACAGGAAGTGTTTAGATGACATATCAGATTAGCATGGGAATTCGTTAACACATTACAATTTATGAATCATTAAGGAATTTGATTTATAATTGTAAGAAATAAATGATTAACATGATTAGATAAAATATAAATAATTTAATTTTAGTTTCGGGTTTCCGACAGCATATTCTTTATATCTCTCACTTATGAAGTTAAAATTTCAGGCCATTATGATGCAAAGGCTCTTCCATCCGCTGGATTAATGCCTCTTTTTCAGAGTTACTTGTGCTCCTTCACAAATCCTTGCTATAAAAGTCCAAGAACAGGTGACGATACCGCCCAAATTAATAGTGAAACACGCAAACAGTCACTGTAAGTACCCAGAAGATGAATTCAAAGCAAATTTTCAAATTGAATTTAAAATCTAAAATTTTAGCAGCAAACAACATTCGCGCTATTTCAGATTTTCAAAAAAAACGACAAAAATTGATCTTCCTTTCTTCACTCCTCAGAATTTTTGCTATATATATATGTTTTGGATTTTAGCAAAAATTAGCATGAAATCTAAATTTATCATTGCAGCATTGTTGCGACTGCTAGAGCTATAGCAGAAATGTTTGTTGCGATAGGTTCAGAACCGCTCAAATGGTTTAACCTGTCGGATTCGATCATCTCATTTATTAATATATTCGCTCATTTCACTCCATATGCCTTTGATCAACCCATTCCTCTTATTGCATTTTTCAATTCCACTGATGACGCTATCAAATTTTTCAAATCAACTTTAAATAGCAGCGATGAATTATCTGTTAGCTTGAGTAATGTCCGAATTACACCACTTTATGCTTTAGAAATCATCAAAGAGGTTTGTTTTTTGATAAAATTGAATCGAATCATTACAAGACGAAATGTTGTGAGACTCTTTTATTGACCGTTTGCTATTATTATCACTATTTTCAATATCATAAACACTAAACTATTTGAAACATGGTTTTGATGAGAATAATTTTATATTTCACTCTTAACAAGTAGAAGCTTCACTTGGATGAAGATCAATTTGTTATGTAATTTGGTAAGTCGCGCAATAAGTTCAGTCTACCCGGAAGATATAGTTAACTCAAATTTGTTATATGAACAGCTTGGAAGTAAAATATCGCAATTTTTTATGCAACATAATGCTAACGAAACAAATACAATGGCATTAAAAGCTTTATATAATGTATGTGTTTTTCATATCTTTGAACGAAAAATTTATCTAATTTTGTAATCGTAAATTTTTAATCTTAAAGGTCATAGACCAATGAATTTTTTATATGTTAGTAGACGCGTTAATTTATAGAAACATTCGAAAAATTCATAAGATTTCGGACGAGAAATTTAAAATTTTTATTAAATTCTTGAAAAGGACCTAAGCTTTTGAAATTTTCCATAAATTTTGCAGACAAATATTATAATACCGCATGTAAAGACACGAACTTTGAAAAAATAGAATACTGTAACAATTTTTAGTGGCTTAAATTTGCATCAATAAACAATATGAGCATCGAATACGAAGAAATGCTGAAAATGTTTAACACACTGCACATTTTTGGAAATGATCAAGTGATCAGAAAGTTCACTTCAGCCTTATCAATGGTTGATTTCAGTAATCACACTTCAATAATAAATGCGATACATTGTGGAAATAACCGTAAGCTTCCATTTCATAGTTGCAATGATTTTAAAGGGCTTAGAATGGTTTATAATTTTAGTTTTAACGATGAATACTTAAATCAACTTTTTCACGCTTTTTTTGCTAATTTTTCCAGTATTTTTGGCATTCATTTTATGTGAATAGGATAACTTCTTTCTGAGTAATATATTTTGCAAGATATGGTATGAAAATTTTTGTTTGAAATAATTTCAGCTTGAACTAAATTAATTTATTTAAAATGATTAAATGGATTCTAAAAATTTATTCAGCTTATGATCAAAATTCGCATGAAGAAAAATCCATTCCTGGCGCAACAGCAACAGTTGCAAACAACACTGACAAAGATGAAATATATAATTTCTTACGTCGCGTAACACCTCGATATGCTGAACGCCATGATAAAAAGAAACAGTTTTGTGGTGTCATTCCGATTAATTCAGGTATTTCAGTCATATTTGAAATACAACTAACTGACACTTGATATATTTTACTTATGCTAATTGCTTCACTTTTTAGTAATGAAATCAGTATATTACAGATAAGAACTGTTCATTCCTGGAAGGTGCAGCTTTGTCACAACTAATGCCGTTGATCAATGCTTACATTTTATTGGCTCCCTTTTCTCCTGTTATTAACGCATTTGCCGAAAAGGTGATGTTGTAGCGGATTTGCAATACTTAAGAATGCATTATTACTCATTATCCTATTATAATTGCCTGAAACATCGTTATCAAAGTGTTAAATCTACATGACCGCTTTGAAATTATCTCTGATACTTGCCACTTGTTGAAGACTGAATAACTTTATTAAAAGAGCTTTTAAGTTAATCTGGTTTGGCATTGCCGAAAAACCAAACCTAAATTTAAATTTGTTGGATGAATTGCTATAAATATACTCGAAAGTGTATTTCAATTAAGGCAAAATTTCTCACTCCAATTTAGATTCAAATTGGACTTTTATTTAGCAGTCTAAAATTCATAGCACAGCACTATAAAATGGTTCGTAGTTCATTGTGATTAAAAATAAGTTGCTACAGATGCAAGAAACCATACAAATTGATGATTATTCACTGTCACAAGCTACATTGGATGATATGTTTGTTTCATTGGCCAGTGTTTTGTCCGATAAACCGATGGTTGAATAACAGCAATAAATGTTAATTGAATTTAAAATAGGTCAGTGTGTCTGTTAATCGATATTACTTCACCATTAATTTTCTCACTGTCCTATTGAAGCTCAATCTAGTAATTATTCATTTAATTGTAAATAAAGAAATGGTTTTGAACCAAGAGTTAGAAAAACCCGGGATTTACATAACTTTGCTTAAAGTTAAGTGATAACTCCAAATTAAAAATATCTCAAAAAAGAACAAATCTTCACCTGTCTACGACCAATATTCTGTGGAAGTGTTCATTTTTTGTTTTTAACGTGCGTTGTCACTTTGCGCCTTTGTTTTTATAACACATACAATTGAAAGATCATATCCTCTCATTTTTCTCTTTTGAAATTCGTTGAGATACTCCCTTTTGCTTCCATCATCATATATAAGATATCTGTGTTTTTGCATTGATTGATAAATGACCCCACAAGAATTAGCAGCAGTTTCGAATTTTCATTGTCATTATGTTGTTTTTTTTCTTTAAATTTATTTCATAAGATAAAATTTTATTACTTTGCAAATATCATCATATAAGAGATGAGAGACATTACTATACCAAAAGCACGTCGACAAAAAAGCTTTTAAAATGGAGAATTGCAATTACAAGTTTGCGACATAATCTAGGACAGTTTTTCCTCAGTACTCTTAGTGAAATTGATATTCTTATCTTTTACTAACTATATATTAAGAATCCTTAGGTTTGCTTATATATGATAAATCAGTTATTATAATAATGACAAATAGTTAAGCTACTACAACTATAATCTCATAATCTTTAGCTTCTCCTGCCTATAAAAAAGTGTTGAGAAAGAAAATATGAGTTATGGGAACTAGTAAATACGCATAATCATCATGCATTTTTTCGCATAACTGGACCAAAAGCATTAATACCACCAGGCATCAACTTCGTGCAAGAAGGCGCACCACCGGCAAAGTCCTGCAAATAGTTAGTAAACATTATTGGTATCTTGTGGTGAATACTTTATCCAAAAAAGTTGTTCTTTGTCAAAGGGCAAGGAATGGATAGCCACGAAGAAAGTGTAGGTATCATTATTTAAATTTACACTGCTTCGACTTATATTTCTAATTTCTTTGTAATGTTATAGCAAGTTAATAGATTGCAGATTTGATAAATCAGTTTTTCCTCCAAAATGGCAATATTCACTTCATCATCGCATGTTCCATCTTGAACACAGGAATCCCTAAAAAAGTTGCTGCAGCATATATTGAATTTTCATTATTCTATGAGATGGAAATCTCACATAGCTATGCTCTGAAAAATTCTCGTTGCCAAAATATGGCAAATTTTAAATGCACACTAAAAAACATCACTATTTACGTCAATATTAGTAGTAATAAAAATTTAGAAGTTTAAGATTTTCCTGTAACTTCATAAAATAAATTCCTGATGATATATATATATATATAATCAAATGATAATTTAACATTCTAATTCTAATATTGTGTGCAATGCTTATTTGTACAACTGATCTTTTCTATCTTCAGTTCACAAATGTATCTAAACAGTTCCACTGTTCAAAAGCTTCGATTAAGCAAATCAGTAGAGAAAAAGATTTTTTGATCCAAAGTTTAGAAAAATAATTAGTAATAAACCTGTTACATCTGTCCGCGATAAACCAAATTTCACGCGTGAGATCACTTGCAATCAACCCATTCGCACGGTTCTTTACAAACGATAATAACAATATTCCATCGAGGCAGAGAACATTTTCAGCAAAATTCAGTAAGGAGCGTTTAACTTTCGCATCAATGTAGCTACCATTAGCCTGAGTGCCGCAAGATGAAAGAATTATAACAAAATGCCAAAGTAACTCATATTTTTTGCTTAATTATGAATTATGAGATTCCAAAAAATTTGAGATTTTCAGAAAATGGAAATACCTGCAACAGAGATAATACGCGCGTATAATGTAGATAGGGACAAAGCAAAAGTAGCATAGAATTTATTGCACTGATTGCATCAATTAGCATCAGTACTGAAAGCCAGAACCAGAGTGCCACATACAATTTTTCATTCAGTACATTAATCATTAGGACGCACTGCATCGTATGAGTATTCACTTGGCCGATTTGCTGAAAACCTTAAAATTATTATATTAAGTAAAATTCAATAAGTTCATATAAATTATTCATGTAACATAACTCATTATTCCCTAACATTATTCATTAACATTTCTCATGTTAATTCATATAATTTAAAATATTTGAGATCTTATGTTTAGATATAAAACCAACAGCTTATTAATCACAGGATGAGATTTGTCGATATGATTTGACAGTTAGGATTGCAAATAAACCTCTTTCGAGTTGATGCTTAGGAGTATCCAACCAAATCTCATCGTTACGCCGCCAAAAAAACTCAGTGTCTCGCATTAAAAACTATTCATTCTAAGTATAACTTAATTAGAAGTATACAAAAAGACCAGAAACCGTACGGCAATTTTGACATCGCAGAATGTTACCCGTGGAAATATATTCGATGTCTTCCAGTCGTTACCTTTAAGAATTTCTTCCATAAACTAAAGTATATCACAAATTGGATATTAATAAAGAAATGATTATCCTTCATCTTTGAAAATTTTTTTTAATTTTAGAAAAAATATGAGAAAACTAATGGAAAGAAGAAAACTAGAACTTACACGGTAGCCCCATAGCAAACAACCATCACCTACGAAATTATTTATGAGTAAAATTTGACATAAGCAACTGCCAAAATAGAACCATTTCACGATCACATAAAAGTGATATGCCGAACAGCATTGAGCAGTCCGTCTAGAAAAAAAAATTCGATAAAAACTACAAGTTTTAAAGACACAAAATTAGCTACCGTCTTATGCTAATGCTATGTCATAACTTATTTCATACTTGAGTATTTATGCTACATGTTTCAAAATATTGCACGTTTCGTTCTGCCATAAGATGATGGTTATAACGTTATGGGATGAATCGTGGTTGAAGTTAGAGTCAAGGCAATAAATAAAAGTCATCCTTAAAATCAACCATTCAGTTTTACCTCTTCTGCTTATACTTAATATACCCAACAGCAAAATTAGCCACTCTCCTGAGATGTTTCCGACGAACTGACAATGTCGTAATAGATGGTAATTTCATTGCTTCTTCCACAATAGAACGCATATCCAAATCTATACTATATTTTAAACTAATTTAAAGTGCATTTTATATGTTCAAATTAATCGAAAAATACATTTTATATATGTTCAAATTAATCTTTCGAATTATACCTCAAATCAAATACAAGAAATCAAGAAGTTTTGACGAAGAAGCAAGACAAGGTTTTCTGAATGAGAACTATTTCATCAAACTTTGACGATACTAGAAATATCAGTGCTACTTACCACGCGTTATTATAATAATATTCCATAGAAATTTTGGCAAATAGCAAAGTAAAGCCTGCAGCAATAATATATAAGGCACCCACTGCAACATAGAATTTTTTCAGTAAACGACGGCGCGTGTGATTATTACATAATTTTATCAATTTTATCATATAAAAAACGTGGCCTTTATCTTAAATATGTCTAATTTCATATAATATGCAATTGATCACTCATTTTATCTTATTTTCCTCGTTTCAAAAAAAAATCTTATTGAAAAGGCTCGCCTGATAATAGACAATTTCTTCTTTATAAACATTCATCGCTTCACCTTTCACAATAATTCTGCTTGCATTTACCATATATGTGTTGCTTACAAAACAATAATCTTGCACATAATTAACCCACGAACCTATAGTCACAATCTAATTCAAAATCTATTATTTAAAATACTAAGACAATCCGAGGAGCGTTTACAACACAATATAATATCATGTCAAAGAAGTGAAATATGCAAACAGCAATCATATAATATGCAGTTGATCACTCTATTTAGCTCATCCTAGTCAATAATAATTACCATGTTATCATAAGTAAAATAACACTCAATGCTTTATCCCTTTCATGAACATATTCTTTATTAATAATTCTTACTTCATTTCCACTTTATTTATAATTTTTATTTCATTTTCTGTTTTAATTTAAAAATTGCATAACATTCTAATCACTCTTAAGAAATAGGAAATACAAATTAAAATATTGTTCATTATCCTACAACTCACATCTGGAGAGATTTTTAGTGTATGCCAAAGAAATAAATGGCTAACCTGGAAAGTGTGTAGGCACCATACATTGAATTGCAGTACCAAAATGTTGCTTCGCTCCTGTAAGTGTTGCCATAAATATGAGAAGGCCCACTGTATACACATAATTCAGGCGATCCACAAAATCATCTGTAGAATCCGAATGTGCTGCCACAAATTTCATTGCTATTTGTTCAGGCCATACAAACATTTTGAATATTTTCCTTTTTTTTCTCCCTCTCTCTCTCTAAAATATTCTCAAATCTAGATGCATATCTGATACAAATGCAAAAATTTAATAATAGGCCAGAAAAAATTTATGCAAGTGAACATGCAGCGATATTATATTTAATATAGCAAAAATATTCTTTAATAGATTACACGTCTCAAGAAGAGAGTTCAAATCTGTCAAGAACCCTCCAGAACAGCTTCAGTGAGACACACATCTACAATAACTCTATTCACAGAACAGCAACAAATCAACTGATCGTGTGAAGCTGTGGGAACTTGAAGGCGCGAACAATGTGACCGCCTTTTGACTGTTTGCATATCGCACTGTTAAGAAAAGATTTGAAACTGGGTGGTAGAAGCGAGAGAATATACGTTGAAATTCCTATGAATGTACGCTGACCTTCGTGTGAACATACGTGAGATCGACGTAAGGATTGCAACTGTAAGGATTGCAGTTGCGTTGTTAGTAAATGTAATTACATGGTAAATTGATTTGGAATGATAACAGTTGGCAAGCGTCCGCTTAATTAATCTGTTAAATCTAACGGTATCTCCTTGAACTTGTCATCTATATGGCCTTAGTCATATGTTAAGGCTCTTCTGCTATATGTATGTATAACAATATATAATCAACTTTTATTGAAAAATTTATTTCAAACGTTATAGCGATGAATTTATGAGTACTATCGAGCTTCGTTACATTTAATGAATGAATTGAGTAGTATCGATAAAGTTAAAATAATCTTCTGTGATCTTTTGATCCGATCTAACACAATGTACCTAAATAATATCCTTTAAAGTATTGCAGAAGTGAGACTGAACCGTTGGAGCAGTTATCATTCTCATTATTTATTCATTCTCTTATTTATAACTATCATAACCTCATAAATCTATAAAATCATTACCTTTTTGAAGAATAAATTCGAAAAATAATATAAGCATATAGACCTGTCTAATTCGAATTTTTTGATATGACGGCTTGAATAACTTTACTGATACTGAACTCACTTTGTTTGCTTTGTTCAAAAATTCGCGTTCTTTTTGCGTCAGATCCAAATCTCTCGGTGTATATTCCGGCAATGCGAATACCTTCTGCAGTTCTTTCTCAGTCAAAAATCTACTCATTAATCGTGGCTTACCATCATTGCGTGAACCCTCAAATCCAAAAGTTGTCGAAACTTTTCAAATTCTATCTTTTAAAAAAATCACAATTGATTTTCACAAATTTAAAGTGCAAAAAAATTTTTTTTTCAATTTTTAGAACTTCGAAAATCTAGAATTACCAAAGATTTTTTTCATTAGATTTTGGAAGTGTTGTGTGAACATTCAAATGCACATTTTAAAATAGCTTTTCCTTACCAACAAATCTTTTTCCAGGATATCCGATGATTTACTGTAAAAATCGACCAGAGTGCATGATGTGAAGAAGTATATATAGGCAGTGATAGAAACTGCTATGAATAAGATTGAAATGGGCATGAAAAGCAATACCGCATACCAAATCTAAAATTGTATATCCCTCACTAATTCTACTTTATTCTGAAAAATAAAACTATCATATTAGTGTTAACTATTTAAAAAACTACTACAATGCATGGACTATCTGTTAATGACACAATCCGATCTGTAATACAATTGGGTATAAATTTCTGTCTCCTCCATTTTCGTTATTCTGTCAGATGTTCAGGTTCTGTCAAATGTCAGGAACTTTTATGGCAATTGTGATAAGATGATGCTAACGGACCCAATGATTAAGAAACAAGTGAACCATATATTTCCGGCCGCTCTTCACCTCAGAATAAGAAAATAATTTATAATCCTCTACACCCCAAATAACAACCAGTTAACAGTATATAAATCAGTCTTTAAATTTTCATTAATTGTTTTCTTCAGTGTTTCATACCTTCCATTACATTTTTGTGCTGGAAATAGTTTTTAAGTTCCGATTTTTTAAACAACTTCCAATTCTCTTTTAAGAAAATTATATGATTTTAAAGATTATGCATTGTGTAGACAAGCGAAATAAAGGATAGATGATTTCAGAAAAGAGTTCGCATTTTTGGCAAGAGGGACTGCATAACAAATTAAAATAAGCATTTATTTCTAATGAAAATGCTATTTAAAACTGAATTATTCTGTTTCAGATAAGAAATAAATTATATACAATCCGAATAAAAATCAACGTTATACACTTTTATGTAAACTGCACAGAGAGAAAGGAAAAATAAGTAGCGAATTATAGATCACAGTACAGTATTTAGGGAATATATTCCAATACTCGAATATATAAATACTCTTCGCGAACAATAATAAGTTCTTTAATTATAAAATACTAATCTGGTTATTAACGAAACTTGCTTGAGGCTGATTCAAAACAATCAAGTAGCTATGAATGAAAATTCAGTCACGTAATATCGTCGCTATACTTTTGTAATTAAAGGTCCTAATAATTTATAAGTACAAGATATTGTCAAAAATTTTCATCTTAAAACAAGCCCTTAATTTATCTCCAATTTTTATTCAAACACTATACATTTCTCATGGTGAGGATATCACAGCAAATTTGACAGACTCTAGCTGGTTTCTCCATACCATATTTGAGTATTGGCACTTCTTGTTCCGAACAACGTGCACATACTAATCGTCCACAATGCCTGAACCGAGGTTTAAAAATTTATTCAGCACAATTATATTACTTGGACTTCGTAAAATAATGCACAAGATCTGGTGCTCATTATAAGATAAAAGTGAAATTATAAAACAAGTAAATCAAAATACGAAGGTGTACATAGAGCGTATACAAATTAGTAATAGAATATATAGACGCGAAAAATAAAGGCTGTAAATAAAAGGAGCGAAATTAAACCAAGTAAAATACCATAAAACGATACATAATGATCCTTAAATACATAACTGAACTTACGAACCGCTTATATAAAAAAGAAATGAAAAATACCTGCAATGATGTTTTCGCATTGTTAGAGAAAATTTCACTTCACATTCCGAACAGGAATGACCATCAGCCCAACACGGCTCACGCTCCAGTTTATCTGAAGTCAATATTTCTTAAGATTTTTTAGACTTTTTTCTCCATGAAATATGTCAATTAAAACTTTTTTTGTTAATAATTATTTTTTAAAAGTTCTTAAAAATATTTTCAAAGGATTCACAAAAATTTTATGAATTAAAGATAATACTTTAGTTCAACCTTATAAATAATATAAAGGTTTGAAAACCAATAATAAATTACCTAATAACGAAAAAAGGAGTTGTTTTGTTGGCATTACATGTTTGAAAACTGAAATACCTGCTTGACTGACAATGCCCAAGCAAACACCATACCGTAGCAACGCATGGCACATATTTTCATTCCCTTTCAAATACGACAACAAAAATACTGCAAAAAAATAAACATGACAATAAGTCCTACAGTTTGGTGTAAATAGCTGTAACTTTATTATTAATAAAACATAAATTGAATGCCAAACGAATGTAAGCTGTTCCAGGAAATCTGAATTGATATTTGAACTGCACTGGCAACCATAAATTAAACGGGTTAAACTACATCCCAAATTCTAATTATTTGATTGACTTTTTAATACAATATCCTTATAATACCGAACCAATACAGTACCAGTATTGTGGAAACAAAAATCATAGTGATATCTTCTGACGTACACAAATGAGCATTATTGTACTTCTGAAGTTAACTATATTTGAAGTTAAACTATATTCGAATGGCTTAAATTCGTCTCAATTCAATAATATAAAGGGAAACCTGTAAATCCATCCGCATCTCTTGCATCCAAAGGAAATTGCGGATCAGCATTCAGAAACATCTGCAGTATATCCAACGAATTTGTTCTTGACAAATCTCCCGCAGTAAGGAACAAAGCATTCTGCTGCCTAAAAAAAATTTACAACAGTAGAAATAAATGCATTTGTAAATGTCACAGTATTGTTCAGGTAGCCTGAATCGTCTGCATCTAAATTAAAATCGACGGCCAACACTGTGAAAAGAAAAATACGCAGCAATGTCAGTGTCCAGTCGAATTACAACGTTGCACCAATTATCATGACGATATTTCCAGCAACAAGAAGTTTCTATAATTTATTATTGTATAATTTACTACATATAAACGAAATCAGAACTTACTTTTTATTAACAGCACGTAAATTTATTCGAGAATCACCAATTAGGACATTAACACAAGCTACACTTCCTCCCAATACGGCTTTGTGCAATGCTTAAATATCCAACACATATTCGAAACAAAAAAACTTTGTCTACAACAAGGGAGTAATTTTAACAATGCTATTAGTTCTCACAAATTACTGGAAACGAAATTGGATTCAAGTTTAAATTACATCTAAGATTTGCAAAATTGACTTACGCGTGTTTCCGAATCTGTCTGGAACGTTAGGCGGAGCACCGTTTTCCAGTAAAATCATGCATAATGCTTCGTGATTATTATATGCAGCAACATGCAGAGGTGTAAAACCGTCAGCACTGGTTGCGCTGACGTCAGCTCCGGCTAAAATCTGCAATACATCATATTAATTTACCTTATAATCACTGAAGAGAGAATAGGAGATTTGACGATTCACACATAGTTCAAGTACCATTTTTTACATCTAATAATCCTCAGTGTATCTTGGCATTTTCGATGATTTTTGTTAAAAAATAAGATTCAATTTACAGAAAGTCTGTCTTGTTTACGAAAAAAAATGTCGATTTTGTCACTTGGCAAATGAATTTTAAGAAAATATTAAATTAATCCGTTCTCAATAAAGTTTGATCGAAGAATCATTAAAATAGGATAAAAAATTTTGTAAGGAACTCCAATTGGCGCACACTTGTTATGAAAGCAAAATTACAAATTTGATTAAATTTATTAATTAACCAAATTTCGCATTATAATTTCGCTGCCATGCTGAGCACTAAGATGCAAGGCGGTAACAGATGATTCATTCTGAGCACGAGCATTAACATCGAAACTTGCACTTATCAAGAAAAGTACCGATTCTAAATCAACTGCTCTTACTGTTTTATGCAATAACATCTCGCCATTCTTATCTACCTGTAAATGACGTGTACTAAAGTTTAAAATTCTAAACTTCTTTCCAGATTAAATGTTCAATTTGACTTGATATACACTGAGTCTACAAGAAAAGACCTGCGTAATCAAGTTCGGTGCTTTTTTGATAAGAATCTCAGCAGCCAAGTAATTACGCGTTTCGATCGCCATATCCAGAGGTGTATTTCCGTAACAATCCGTATCCAGAAGCAAACCAGGATTACAATTACTCAATAATTCATTGAGGATCGTCATATTTTTCTTAGAAACCGCTAAATGAATAGCCGAACGTTCTTCTGCATCCTAAATTTAAAAGAAATTAATTTTGAAAACTCTGAAATAAGAAGCATAAGTGCAATAGAACCATTACCTTCCTGTCCAGTCTAGCTCCTCGTTCAATTAAGCACAATGCAACATCGTCAAAATCCGAACGAATGCAAGCAAGCAGCGGAGTGTCTCTACTGGACTGCTCCTCATTAATTTGCCTCTGTTCCGTGACATCAATATCACATCCACTGCAATCAATTTACTTTTACTATAAATCTTGATACTCATAAAGTCGGCCTACGTGCGGAAAATTTTTTAAGCCTTAAAGAAGCTGAGAAAACTATGCTATGTATTGATACCATTAACTCATTGCTGCCATATTAATAGATGTTTATAACAAATGAATGGATAGTAATAGTGAAGGATTTTCAAACGTTATACATACGCAACCTTAAAGACTACAAAATGAATTGAAAAATGAAGAGAAAGTAAACGAATAAAATAAAGAAAAAGGAAAAAATTTCTTAAATATTTAAAATTATTATCTTACACATTAATCAAGAAAACGGCCGCGTCACGCAATTCCAAGCCAATCGCTTTATGCAACAATGTTTGGCGACAATTAAGGCTTTCACTGTAAAACCAATCGTTGAGATCGCAGCCACTCTCAATTAAAGCTTTTGCGACTTCAAATGAGCCTGAATTTAGTTGTGCAGTGCTCCAAATATTAAACAGCCATAACACATATTCATTAAATAATCTTCTCGATCCTTTCATTTATTCATTAAAAACTCTCATATTTCACATTGAGCTTAAAGTTGAAACACAAAGACCAATTAATATTTACAATATTCAGCAGCTAACCTTGCTGCAAAGCTTCCCATAATAATGTATTTATATTCTTTTCGTTCTTCCTGATAAAAGTGCAAAGACGCCGAACTGTTTTGAGAAGCGAAAATTCAACTGCCAAAGAAAAACAATCTTTCTCGGAAATACTATAAAAGATTTCGGAGAATATGATGTAATTAAAAAAATAAATAATGATATTTTTAAGGAATTTTTGAATCAGGGAATAATATATGAGATAGTGATTCCAGAAATATTGAATTTTGATCAAAATCTGAATATTTGAGAATAAAATACAAAGTTCTTACCATCCTGAAATATCCGCACCATGATCCAACAAAAATACCGCAGCGTCATCTAATTTCTTATTGATAACTCGCAAGAGAAGAGATAATCCTTCCCGATCTTTTTCATTTATATTGGCTCCAGCATTTATCAAAAGTTCAGCACTTTGGAACTTACCAATTAAAACAGCCTTTGTAATAGGAGTATGACCGTTCGCATCCACGACCGAGAAAGTATTTTCTAAAAGTCACAGGAGACCGTCTATTCATTCCATACAATTAATCTCCTAATAAAAGAGTGATAGAGTAAGAATCATTCATGCTATAGTCAGCTTCAGTAACACATTTTAAAATAACAAAACAAACCATTGCAACTACCACTTTCGATGCAAACCTTCAAAATTTCATCGCCATTTTCTTTACCGATAATATGGTGAAGTAAAGTTTCATAAGAATTCGAAATTTGCAGTAAAATACTTGCACCAGACCGCATAAGTATTCGGATAATATCCATATTAATATTTTCAAAATCTACCGCAATTTGCAGTGGTAGCATGCCCTAAACATCAATCTGAAGGAAATACACAAATGGAATTTTTAAGGTTTAAAATGAACAATAACTAAAGAAAAATGAAAATGCCTCTCACTCATAATCACACAATTTTAGTACAAAAATTTTATGCTGAAATAAATCAACATAAATGTATGTACTTCTGTCGTTCTTTTATTCACATCCACTCCGTGCCTGCATAAGAATTGTACCGCATCCAAATTGCTAGTATAAACCGCATGATGAATCATGAAAACATCTAGAAACAAATTAGCTTTTAGAAAACGCTTAAAGCAAATTTCAGTGTTTGAAAGAATATTTGATTTATTGGAAGCAATTTCCTGCACAATCGAAAGAAAGATTTGCAATATTTCCTAAAAGCTATAATATGTATCTTTAATAAGCGCTTTTTTAGCTAGGAAATTTATTATAATTTTAAAAGTTAAAAACAATAGCCCAACTGTGTTCTGATGATCTTTCTATCTGCTCACGCTTATTTGAGATTGACACTTCCTAACAGAATCAAAAGCGAAATCTTGCACTTATATTAACTTGAGTTAGAGTTAATCGCATTTTACTTCTTAAATGACGGAAAATCTGTTGAGTGTTCTATCCGTCTATTGTATAACACAAAAACTTTTTAATATATTGGAATGAATAAAATGAAAGAAATAAGAAACGAGCTGTGTATAATATTTAATCAAACAGCACTGCCATTTTGGAACAAAACAAAAATACGATGGCCATTAATATGAAAATATCATATATCATTATAATAAACCTTTATAAAGAACGTTCAAATCAGCTCCTGCTTTTACAATTAGTTCCGCTAATGCCATGTTTTTAATTTTGAAAAGAGCGGATGTTATCGGCGAATATCCCTTCTGATCCATTTTATTTACATCAACCGCAGGTTCTTGTAAAAGTAATTCAATTATTTTCACATTTTCCGAATCAACAGCTCGCATAAGTGGAGTCCTTGAAAAAAGAGCAATTAATGAAAGCTTGAGAGCATCTTTTTTAGAATCTTTTATGACCTCGTAAGTTTTCCAGATTTTAAATTACGTTAATATTTGTTAGGATTTTCTCGGTCTTTCAACAAAATCATACATTACATATTTATTTCACTTATGCGGGTTCTAATTCCTATTTTAGCCTTATGTCTTACTATAATTTCATAACCTCACTTTAATTCAGAGTCGACATCATTGATATTCAAGTGATTTAAATTAGACGACAGCCATTCAATTAAGTCATAAGAACACTTTGTTGATGCAGCAATATGTAATAAATTTTCGCCAGTTATACCAACTTTATGGTCGAAGTTTGCTCCATTCTGAGTTAAAAAAATCAGTGCATCAATTTCATCTGAAAAAAAAGAAAAAAGAATAAAAAATGTTGACCAAGAAACAAAAGACCTACTTTTCAGTCGTACTTCTTGCAAACTTTGCTTGTTCAATTTTTTGTTATTAAATGGTAATAAAAAAACATGATTTAATTCAAATATTGTTTTTGTCCGTTTGCTTAACATGTCTATCGTACGTATAGATTTTCAGTGCAATCAATTACGAAAAATCTAGTCTGTTTACATCTTTCTGTTTACATCCTAAAGATAGAATTATAACTAGAAAAAATGTAAGGAGAAAAAAAAAATCATGAAAGAACCAAAAAGACAAGCATAATTCCAAAATCACAATCTTGAGCATTATTCAAAAACTATTGCACTTCATCAATTATGATTATAATTACAGAAAGGTTACAACTAGTAAATAATTGTACGTTGGATTTTTGATACTGATGAAACGTAAACTTTTATTTTCTCAGTACAAAAACTCACTTTTCATTAGCATCCTCATCAGTAGTGTTCTACCATTGCTATCGATGACATTCACATCTGCACGATGATTAACTAAAGACGTTGCAATTTCTATTTGATCAGATTCCAACGCCAATTCCAGTGGGAAAGTACTACTGATCTCTTCATTGCACAATTTAGGCAACTTAAACAATTCATGTTTTGTACAAAAAACAATTTATGAAAATAAATAATAGAGAATTAGAAAACTACAAAGCAAATGTCTAAAACAAGTAAGATATCGAGATTTATTGTCTAACAGAAAATCAAACATCGAAGGCCACTTTGTTTTTCATGCTTGCAATAAATATCCACGCTGATAACATAGGATTCATGAAAAAAGATACACGATTGTAAATGCCATGGTTCTATTTAATAGATTCATTAATTAAACTATAATTAAAATAATGAAAAAATTTACCTCCTGAAAACGTTCGATAAAGAAGAGGAGTAATATATCACTTCGCTTTAGTCGAATAATTGAATGTAATATATGTTTAGAATTACTGAAAATTATTACTGCCATTTCCGCTAAAGAATTTTCAAAGTTTATGTTAATTTTTTTGTTCTTTCATCGCTTGCAATAAAGTTAGTGATACACTATTTAAATTGTGTCAAAACGAGTAATTCCATGAGTTTCTTTTATTATTACTCAGTTTATCAAATGAATTACTCAATAATCAATGCAAAAGAAATTGAATATACATTACAACAAAACAAAATATAGAAATTACTAAAAACAATCTGCCTATTTCTTTTTTCTATGAGTCTCTTTAATTTTTGTTTTTGTTTTAAATATTTTTTATCAGCTGGTAATTGATAACAGGAATGAAAACAGAAAAGAACCAAAGAACGAAATTCAGCATGCTAACCTCTTGATAAGATCATATAATAATGAAGCAGACATTTTAGTAAAGTCTTCAGCAGTGAACTGATTCCATTCTGTCTTAATTATTTTCTTGCAGCTATCCTTTAATTGGATCAGGTCATTTTTGATTGCAAATTCATACAGCATTAAACAGCTATCACAATCTATCCGGCCTAGCAGAAGCAATTCACATCTGCAATTCGTTTTTTAACAAAACCGTCTGCATATCAGTTTAACATCTGCTAATTTTTTCCTTTCTTGCGATTAATTCATGACCATATCGGTCCAGTCTGGAAACACTCAGAACAGAGTGAGGATGAAGTAAATAAAAAGAATATCATACAGCAATTACTCAATGCATTAGTTGGAGAATATTTTAGGTATGAAATGAAGGCTTTAAAATTCTTCCAAAATAACCTTATCTGTAAGTCTAAAAAACGATATTTAAAGGCTGCTGTGAATATTTGCATCAAACAACGATTTCCCAGTAGACCGTCTACGTAATCTGTATACATCCACTTCAGTATAGCAGAGCCTATATTATAAGCAACATCTGTAAAATTAAACAGAATAATTTCGAATAAGGTAAAGATTTCTGAAAAAAAAAAGTGAACTAGCATAATAATATAACTCGCTTCCACTTCCAACATATGTGAATTTTCAAACTGCAACTTTAAAAATTCTGCAGTACACATATATATAGAAATATATCACAGTTATAACCTTCTAATTCAATGCGATCAATTCCTAAAAGATCATTCCAGTAATCTGTTCTTGTTGCAATCACTAAACGATGACCTCGGAACTGATGACCATCACAGTGAATTGTTATATCGCTGCAAGAGAAATTTATGTCGTGTTAAGTTTTTTCAATTTTAATCGGTAATAGTTGGAAAAAGTTTGCCTCTCAGTAAACAAATAACAATTAATCTACAAAATTATCTACAAAATATTTACTTTGCAGGAAAGAAGGATATCTAAAACTTCAAAACAAATTAGAACCTATATAAATCGTTATCATATATTTCAGTAATCTTAGCCACAAGCTTCTGTACGAATGAAAGTTTCGAAGTGTCACCAATACAAGTTCCATTATTTCCAGTAGCTGCAGCTAATATATCATAACGTTTCTGCAAATCGGCATAATTCTGCAACAACTTAATATGCTCTCCTTGAAGAAATTCTACGAAATTCGCCATTGCTATGTTCCAACAGGTTCTGCCTTCATTTCCTAGAATTATGAAAACTTCATCAAAAATCTTATGAGGCACAGCACGAAATTTGCAAATTAAAAAACATCATACATCGTGTAAAAAAACTAACAATCTTTAAAACAACAATTAATTTCATCCAACTAGCATAAAATTCGATCTCCTCAAAAGTATGAGTGGCAAAATCTGAAAGAAAAAGTGACTAATGAAGGGAAGTATATTGCGTCGAGACCAGGAAATTAACACCAGTCAGCACTGATTTAAACCGGAAAGTAGATCTAAGTCTATTTCCAGTAGCTCAGGCATAACCCTGTATTCAATTACATCACAGTTGGGAGGAATACAGATTTGAAATGATTTATGATTCTCCTCAGTGATCATTTCTAGTTTTTTCAGCATAAAAAATTATTAAAAACGTAGTGTTCACCTGCTTTACACATATTAATTCACGATCTCAAAGTTTTTTGAAGCATTATTACAGAATTTTTAAAACCGATGGAAAGGTAACTGCTGTACAGTTTAAACAGCAAGATAATGAAGAACATTCATAACAAGAGATATTTTATTTGTAGTGTAATCAATGATTAACAAAAGATTATAAAAATAAAAAACAGATTAAGAGAAATAATAAACAGAATCATAATGGACGATAAGTGGGATTTTTAGTGAATTTCTCAATTTTTTCATGCACACCAACAAGTCAATAATCAAAAATATTGTATATTTCAACACCATTTTCCGACAATCACAAATTAACTCCATGGAAAAACAAGCACAGCAACTATATGTCATTACATTAACGAACATCACTGGTAGAAAGCGAAGTCCTATTTTTAAAACGGCAGGATAAATTACTGAAAGAAGAAAAATACATGGAGCTATAAAGGTAACACCGACTGCAGCTAATAAAATGGTAGTACTCTGAAGATCTAATTCACTTTTTCTTCCAGCAGTGTTAAAGATTAGAGAACAATTTTAACATTTAGAAATTGTCGAAGAATGGATGACAGAAAGATAAGTGAAGTCATAACACAGGTTATAAAATACAAAAACACTGCAAAAAAGAGTAGGTTTTTAATTAATTTAAAAATCTTCTCTTCATGGATAAGAATTATGTCTTAGACGGTCATATTTGGCGAAAAAAAAACTAACAACACTAACCAAAGTAAAACCGTGATTCTAAAAAGTAAGAAATGAGGTCAATATAGATGGCCTGAAAAACTGAAGATGCATTTTTTTCTCCAAGATTATTTTAATGCATAATAAAAACATCTTTCCAAAATGCACTGAAATTTTTTTATAATAAAAATCCCACTGATAAAAAGGCAATAGAATATATTAGCTATTTATAGGTTTCCAGCCACCAAATCCTTTCTCCAAATCTTGAGCTACTGCTATCAACAATGAATCAGATCCTGGTGCACCGATAGCTTGCACACCGAGTGGAATATCATGATTGTTCAAACCCATTGGACACTGTACAGCCGGAAGAGCCAATGTATTCCACAGAGCCGTATAAGCGAAATTCAGTGGAGTGAAAAGTGGCTGATGATGATAAGGTGCCTCAGTTGGAAACGATGGGAACAACAGAATACCATTATCTGATAAAAGTTCTTCCACTTCTCGGCTTAGCCGATCTCGCTGACTCCTTAACTGCAAAAAATTGTTTTAAAGAATTGGGACAAAAATAATTCCCAGTAGTGTTATAAAGAAGATAATTCATATAAAATATTAAGCTTCACTTTAATAGGTTTTGGAATAGTTTTTCAAGTTTTCTTGGGGCAACCAGCAGTAATCGAGAATTAAATTTACGACAATGTTACTTTTTGTTTTTGTTCCTCATTGAACGGTGTAAAATGTTCGTCCATAATTCCAGTAACAATGGCTGGTAATGTATGTACTGATTTCCCCACTAACCATTTGAATAATTCGAAGAAGCAATTTATATTGGCCTAAAAATGTGATAAATTCAAAATAAAAAAAGAAAAAAACAGAACCTTAATTTCGAAACTTAGATGTCAATTTTATTTGAAAAGTGAAAATTAGTAAATTGATTACCTAATGCAAACTGACCATGGTATAACCGTCGTTAAAAAATAAGTGGTATGATTCAAGAATGGAATTAACAGTAAATGCGAAGAATCAGGTTATGCATTTATTTGAAATGGAAGAATAAAGTAATTTTAACGAAGACTTCGAAAGGCAGGACGAAAAAACAAGATTTACCTTTAAATCAGTCATATGCATCGCAAATTTTGGAGCATCTGTAACGTCCATACTTGTCAGGAAAAATTCAAGTGCGTAATGAACGAGTGGTGGATCTATACGTGTAGCGCATAAATCATACTTAATTTCAAAATACCGAACTGCCTAAAAATAAATATTGTATTTTTTTGCAAATACATTATTCATCCATGTTACTAACTAAGAATGATAAAACGCTATCTCCACAATTTTCATTTTAAAAAGATATTAAGAAGAAATAGCGAAGCAAAAGAAAACTAAAATTAAAGAAACAATGAAAACACCAATACCGACATTAACTATCGGTGTTGTTTTTATTAACTCCAATGAAATTCAGAGAGTTTGTACTACATAAGTTGCTAAATGGTAAAGTTGCTAAATCCACATCATGTCCAAATTACACACTAACTTATTTTAGGTATACAACTTTGGCTCACAATAAGTAAATGTTTCTAATTTAATCATTAAATGTACTTTCTTTCTTTAGCGTTTGGAAAACTTCATCACTCATTTCTTGCACCAACGGTATCTTCAGGCCTTCCATATAGAAAACGCGTATTTTCTTCATATTACACGGAGTGTCCAAACGTAACAAATTTATGCCTTCATGTCCCGCAAAGACCTATATGTTAATCATTAAAACAACCAACAAATTTTAAAATATCAGAAATAGAAGTTATAAAGTTGACAGAAAATATGAAACAGACCTTTAACAAAATTGACAAATCTTCCGCATAACGACATATAGGACCGATGAGTAGCATTTTCTCAATACGATATCCATTTAGATATGGTAAATGTCCCTCCAATGGTATCACACCTAAATATGAGCGAGACTTTCCAGAATGCAAGATTGAATGTAAAATATTATTATTTAATAACTTTTACCGTTTGAAGTTTTGCAAAACTAAATGTTATTTAAACGCAATGGTCAACATCTTATGAGAGGGACTGATTCTGCAAAGAATTTTAATGCCATAAAATAAAGAACAATGGATAATATACCCGAAGTCGGTTTCAGACCAAAAACTCCATTAAAATAACAAGGCATGCGAATTGAACCGGCAATATCACTACCAATCCCAATTACTGAACCCGCAGCGGAAATTAGTGCAGCTTCACCACCGCTACTACCACCAGAAATTCGTCTGCTATCATACGGGTTTCTGGTACGACCATAAATGACGTTTATCGATTCCCACCACATGCACACCTCTGGAACATTAGTCACCGCAAGAAGGATTGCACCCGCATCCTTCATCCTACAAAGATGAATAGAGAAAGTTTAAAATATAATAATAAAGAATAATTTAGATACAAAGTAGCGCACAAAACGAATGAAATGATGCCACACCATTCTTTATCATGATTGCTTAATTGAAAACGATGCATAGAAGTTGAATAAAAAAAACAAATGAAATATGAAAAGGTATGGGTTAGCTTAATGAGAAGTAAGAAAGTTTGAACTAATTATTAAAGTGAAAGAACCTTTGTACAACGATCGCATCCTTGCTGCTTACGGACTTTTTCCGACAAGATATTCCAATAGTGCAGTATAAACCATCGGCTTCAATAGAATCCTTCAAAGTAAAAGGCACACCGAGCAGTGGTTTTCTTATAGCAAGCTGAAAATAACCGATACGTCTTGTTTAACCAACCATTTGAATCTTTTTTTAACTAAATAATCTTTTTGCACAAGTTATCTTACGAATATTCTCAGCTACAAACTCTTTTTTCATTGAGATATTTCATTTAGTGTAACTTTGGGAATGTTAGCAATACAAACCATGATGAGTAATGTACGAAGTAATTTACTCTAAGAATCGTAACACCTTCATCCTAACAGTATTATAAGGAATAATAGAAGAAATAAGACGTACACTTTTGAACTTCTCGCTATTTGTATCAAGGCTTTCCAACATATCATCAATTTCTTGAGCTTTTATTAATGCTTCTTTAAAGTTCATCTGAACAACCGCATTAATTGTCCCATTCACTTCCTTGATTCGCTTAATATAGGCTTCAACCAGATCGAAGCTTGTTATCTGAACAAGCCAATGTTTAATTCTGCCTTGCAAAATCGTGACGTAGTCAAAAACTTTAACTGTTTTGCATATTACATTGGGTAGTCCATTTCCATAAGGATCTCAATCTCTGTCCAACAGAAAGAATAAAAACATTTCATAATCCTGAAATCTACATAATTACGAACCTGAAATAAAGCTTAGCACAGCATACCTTCTTTTATTATCCATTCTTTTTTTCAAATTCATTTGATTTTCTAAAGCAAAATAAAGTGAACACGTTAGTCAAATAGGACACTTCTCCAATTTTAAGAATCTCAATGTCAAAATTGGCAGTAGAAGATGAAACGGCAAAGAAATTTACGGACTTATTCTACGATGTAGTCAACTATTGCCGGATTCATCCTCAATTCTCAGGTATAAGTAAAGGGATAGGTAATGACATATGCAAGCATGCCAAACCAAGTATATAGGCTAATTTTATAACTGGAATCTATTTAGCAAGAGCACAATGTCTTACAGTTACCCATAGTTCAAATCTTCAACTATTTCACATCTTTGTTACCTCTCGACTTCGTATCTTTTCAGCAGCTTGTGTGGCACTAATTGTGAGGAGCTTATTTTGCGGTGCACTGATTACTTCTCTCGACAGAAAATGATAAATGATAGTGAAGAGATGACAAACAAGAGAGCAGTATATCCTTAAAATGATAACGAATAATGGCTTCAACGTCTTCATAATGGCCACCAACATGTCGTACAGCCTATAATCTCCATTTATTTCCTTTCAAAACAAGCGAAAACACTGAATCCGATAGAAACTGAATGGAACAACTGCTAACTTATGCTACCTGCCACCTCTATTCCATTGCTCCACAATATTTTCCATCCCCATCTTTTAGATCACTTTTAAACTTGCATAACGCTTCAACCGTTGGATACCTTCCTGTTTCTTTTACTGAATAACTGAGCGGCATTTTGAAATGTGTCAATTCTCAGTTGGCAATATTCTTCAATTTTTTTGAAACTGTTTTCAAATTTTTATTTCGATATGTGAAATTAAATTTGAAAGTTTGATTTTTCAAAATTTATGAATTGAATTAAATTGCTTGATAAAGAGGTAATGCACTTCTGCACATCCTCGATTATTTTTATTTTTTCTCGTTTGACAAGAGATATTTCAAATGGCAATTAATCAAAATTTGAGAAGTGAAATTCTATGAAATTTATTCCTGCACTGACTCTCTTCAAGTAAATAAAATAGGATAGCACAGGTTTTACATTCAATTACAGTCAAATGGTTAAAAGATCGATTTAAAAATTAAAAATTTTTTCTTGCAACATAAAGATACTACCTCGCAAAATATAATAAATGCAAATTTTAATTTGGCAACTTAACATCATCTTCAATAATTCATTTTTCAGTTTTTATATCGTTGAAGGAGAGGAGTGGTTGAGTGCCACTTCAATTCTATGACTATATTTGGCACAGTACTAGCTGCTGCATTCCTTCTTTTCATATGGTTTCTATTCGGCTGGCGTGAAACTCATCACAATTCTATTGAAGTAAGCACGCTATGCTAACTGGGCCTTTCCGTTTTTAGACTCCTTTATAGTACCGTTTAACATTCTCTATCAAATAAACATCATTATCTCTCAAATCAGGTTGAATAATTTCTAATAATGAGTTTTTCTCTCCAAAAATGATACGAATATCTCTGATTAGGAATGAGGATAGAATCCGAAATCTGTTATCTAAACATAATTTTCAGTTGAAATGTACACGAAAATTTCTGATTGGCTAGGTATCGTTAAGATGCTTACTGAAATAATATGCTATCAAGAGGGAGAAAAAAAATAAGGCTTGCAAAGAGCGAAGTAAAAAGAAGAGTATTATGTATATGTATGTACCATATGTAAAATATTTTAGACAGATTCATTGGAAGCTCAAAGCGCCATAAGTATTTCAAATTTCAAATTAACATTTGAAAAAGAAAAAATTGAAACTGCGAATATGAATTCTCAGAATTTAAACCAGACATCTGATATGGACATCCAACCCACTGGAAATTCATGGAAGTCAAATGAAATTTCTTCAACTCAGGATTCGGATATGAATAGTCTCACGGCAATTGGGACAAATAATTCAACAATTCAAGAATCACAAAGTACGCAGGATTCAGCAACGATCGGAAAGAAGGATGATTCATTAGCGGGAATAAATATGAGAAGTAAATCAGTATACTTCTCAGCTCAAGTTCCCAGCGAGTGCTATTTGGAAAGCTCGCCTTCTCTAGAATATGCAATTGGACCAAAAAGTTTGGAGAATGCATTGATAGATGAAGGATTAGCAGAAATACCTGTAGAAGATGCTTCTTCTAGCACAGTCTGGGAAACCGGAATTACTGTGTCGGATATGACTGCAGAAATGCCAAGTGCGACGAGCGCTGTGTCAGTCACTGAGCTAGACAGTCAGCTGGAAGGAGACAATCCAATAACAGAAGATAAAATAGAATCAGTGCATGATAAGGAACTAATGTTACAAAGTGAAACTGAAACAAATGCCACCTACAAAGCAGATTTGAAGACCGAGTATTCTATAACAAAGCTTAGATCTGGTAATACCGTATCAATTCTCGACACTCATAGTGATCTAAATATGGAGATTGATTCCACGCCGGATTATATGTTGATGGAAAGGCATCTCTCCAATAATTACCATAATTCGGATTCTGAAATGGCTACCACTATCACGGAAGCAACACAGAAAAAGAAGTTTGACGAAATCGCCACTGCTGAGGTAGTTTAAGATGCCCATTTAGCAGCAATGATAATAATCTCTCTCAGCGGACAAAAATGTATAAAAAAAACTTAGCATTAATTCAGGATTTAAAAAAAAACTTTAAAATTGAGCTTTTTAAAATTCCATCTGATTTAAGCGTTTAATCCTTAATCTCTTTTTCCGGAACGATCTATAAAATTTTAAAGTTTCAGTTTTCTTGTTTAGATAAAATTTCTCAGATAAAAATTATCATTGATTTATTTTATCTTCAGGAAGTCAGCAGTTTATCCGGCTCATTCGTCACCGTTGATTACGAACCGATAGTAACTGAATCGGAAGCTTATTTACGCGCAAACTAAGAGTACAAATAAATCGCGAAGGAATTATTATTCCAAAAAAATACGCTAAAAATTTTCGAATAAATGAAGAAAATTTAACTCTACAATTGATATTTGAGTCCTTACTACTAATCTGTGATCTTACTACTACTATCTGCTTTTAAACAAAAAAGTAAATTCATTTATTTATGCTTATATTAATAACCAACCACTTTACCATCACGATGGAAAATAAAAAGGATATTAATTTGAGTTACAAATTTTCCCGTGAGGAATCCTATCAGACAATGGTTGATAATTCAACAAATTTAAACTATTATAAAATGGTCTATAATTAATACCGTGACATAAAATTTGAAACTAAAGAAAAGATGAAGAATATAAACCAAAGAACGAAGTCCATTGACGGAAAAAATCGAGACAATAAAAAAGGAAGTAAAAATTTCTTCGTAGTTAAAGACAACAAAGATTTCAGTAAAGAAATATTTACTTCCTTAAAACCCCAACAATATATCTTCCGTCCTCTGTAAATAGTAATGGACTGCACAACATTGAGAGAAAAATAAAATAATTTGCGAGAGAAATATGGCCTTGGGCAAACTAATATTGATGAATTTATGTTGATGAACTGATCAACATAAATTATTGTCTAGTTTAATCAGTGCATAATAACTTTAGAAAGATTATATGCTAAAAAAAGATTATATGCTGGAATTTAACAAAAAGTTCGCTTGATTTACGAGTCATTTCGGTAAGCTCCCTCATTCTTTAGATGTAATCAATTTTTGGAGAATTAATTATGTTAATGACAGCAAAAGATGTTTATTTGAAATTGCATAGTATATTTCAATGATGTGAATGGATATTTTCATAAGAAGACAGTATAAAATAATAGGAATAATCCATTGCATATTCTTATGATATATAATGATACTTTGACTTTTTCCTCTTCAACTTCAAGTGCCTTATTTTAACATTCTGACCCAGTGCACCATAATGATATTCAAAATGAATCGCACGTGTCACTTTGCTTATCATTTGTTCTCAAAATTTAACTATACTCTTAACGCCGACATGATGCTGATCAGCACTAACTATATCCATGCGCCTAATTTATAGACAGTCAACCAAACCATGAGTGATTTTAATTTCGTGAAAGCAAAATAAGGCGATATTAAACAGCACATCAATAATGCCTTTTTTTCTTGACCAGTGACTTCTTTTTCTGCAAACCGTTTTCATCCTCATGCTCCGACGATGTGGACACCATTACGGAACGTGATAATTCACTTTCCTCTGACATATTCCTTCAAGTAATGGTTTATACCAGTTGTTTGCATCACAGATTATTGAATTCAAACTGGACATCTCATCGTAATATTAAATAATAGAAAAGGAAAAATGGAAAAATAAAGTGCAAGACAGGAAAAATATATAAGAAATAGACTTGTTGCAAGCCTAATTTTCTAAGTGATAAGTCCGAAATAATACTGCAGGGACATAAAAAATTCCAATTTTTTCTAGATGACCTTAAAAAAGTTGCAGCTAATTTTGATCAATTTATAGGCTCTGCAGTTGCTCACCTCACTATTTCCATTTCATTCAAGCGAAAAAAATATACCTGAGCGGCTTCACTTCATCGGCACTAGTTTCAGTGTCAAGATTTGACCTAGTGAATTTCATAGATCCTGATTCTTTGTAACTATTTTCCCGACCCAACTGTAATTGCATCAATCTGAAATTGAGGAGAAAATTAGACTGCATCATTTTTTTCTTTTGTTCCTTTGTTTCTCACAGCCATTTCTTCACGATACAACTTTCTTTCATTGGTTAGAAATATAACGCAACCTTCCAGACGCATATGATTTGTCTGAGTTTATTCGATAGTTCTGTTTTCGTCGCAAAATATAGTTCAGAAATATAATAAATATTGCTAGAATGATGAT